TAAAGATAGTCTTGTTTGTTATGTTAATTAAAATGGCTTTTGTTTATTAATTTTGTAATGGTTTACCTTTATAGTTTAAAATGCATGTGATTAGAAGAAAGTGCAAATAGGACACTGCGCATATCACCCTAGGAAAATGCACCTCTTTAGAACTTGAGCAGTTTGATTCGTTTATTACAATTGTGTTGCATACAGTAGGTTTCCTATGGTTTTTCATCCAGGGACTTTCCATCAACACTGTTTTGCTGATTATGTGGAGAAGAAGGGCTTATCCTACTGAAGTACTTAGAAGCTTTTCAATGATCTATTTGTTACATGTTTGCCAAGGATTTTAGGATAAACACAAACAGTATGAGGTAAGTTGGAGAAAAACAAAATTCCAATTGCGATTTTGCCCTTTTTGAGGTTGTACAGTTTATGTAAACACCTGATGAAAACCACGCTCGGGAAACACCATATTCAAATGTCACCTGCAGCACGAGAGTAAATGTTAACTCCCCACAATGCGGTTGACAGCCAATCCCTTGTTTAAAACAAATAAGGTGTCAGGATTGCTGCCAGGCTTTTGTCACTCACTGTATAGCTCCCATTTCCAGAAAAGACCTTGGCCTCTCATGTTGTGAGGAAATGTGAGGCAGAGCCTTGTGCTACACTGGGACCAGTGGGAGCCTGAGGTGCTGTTCTTCATGGGGTTCAGCCCGAGCCGTGCTCTACAGCAGCAGCCTTCTCATTCCTGGACTGCACTGCAGCGCAGGGTCCGTTTTGGTGGGGGACCAAAATTAAGCTTAGAGTGCCTGAGGTTCGCTAGCACAGGTGCCTCACAACATCAGCATCCTGGGCTCAGTTCTGAGCTTCGACGTCAGTTTGTGTGGAGTTCGCATGTCCTTCCTGTTTTCATTTGTGTGTTCACGTCGCGGTTGGGTTTTCTTTCACCTCCCAAAGACAAGCTGGCGCAGTATGATTCTAAATGATTCCCTGGAGTAGCTCTTGAGGAAGGCTGGATGGTTTTGAATGCCTTTCCTTCCGACCAGTGCCGGCACACTGTCAGGATGCACACAGACAGGGAGGGAGGGGAAGGGGTGGGGAGGGTGGAGGTGAGGGGTCTTCAGTTTAACACACAGGCATTGTATGGTTAAACTATAAAACACAATTTGGCACTTAAAGCAAAAACAAAACAAATTTAGTTATGTGAATTTTTAAAGATGATTACGATTCATATGTATGAGGCCTGAAATTCAAGCAGCGTACAGTAATTAAAAACACAATATGAGGAGGAGACTCAAATTCCAGTGAAATCACATAATTCTCCCCACCTGTCTAAAACCTTTAAATGTCTACTTTTTATCATCCATACTGTAACAAAATGCAGTGCCCAGAGGTTGGAAAATCCTGATAATTCCTGAAAATAACTTTAAACAAATTTATCATTTCAAATGACAATATGAGTCAGTGCCATTTTAGGTGTCAGAAGATCTGCAGCAGTTTAAACTGGCAGTGAGGCATTTTGTTTTTGGAACTCTTGCTTTTGACTTTTGTATCCATTATTTGTTAGACTGTTTATTTTTAAATAATATTTAGGGCAAGCCCTTATTTGCGGTGAATATTGGAGTGTTAGGAAGGCTCTAAAGAAATGTATCAGGCAAAAAATCTGCATGCCAGTGCCTAATCCTGTTTATATAGCCACACTTAGTAACATGTTTTAACAGTCGATTTGGTTGTCCGTTGTGGTTTATTTGGATACAGAATATGAATCTGTGGCAGACCGTACTAATTGTGGACCCCAGTGCAAATATGGTATATTGGCCCCCTCTCCTAACATTACACACTAGCAGCATCAGAATCAAATCAACCGGCCAACTGATCTCTCTGAAGCTCATCCCCCAAGTCTTATGCTGTAAGAGACCTTTGCTGTGCAGTTTCCAGCATGGTGATATTCTGTACGAAAGAGGATTGGAAAAACGTCTGTTGCCTCAAACTGCTCTTCTTTGACTTTTCTTTTGAGGGAACCCCTGTTATGCTGTGACATAGGTAATGTAGTATGACTTCAGACACTGTGGTGATGACCCATGGGTGATTTTAAAATTGGTCACGATTTGTTGTTCCTGACTTTTGCAAGAAAACTTTAGTAATTAACACTAATTTCAAGACCACAATAGGCATATTTCCCTCAGACCTTTGCATGGTTGGTCTTGTAGATCATGTAAATTTAATAAGATAGTTAAGTACAGTTTTAATTACATTAAATATCCACACACCCAACCCCATATCTAACCCAGGCCTTAACTGGATTATATTTCAAGAACAACCTGCAAACAATCAACTGATGAGAGAACATTTAGAAACTGTGCATGAGACACATATTCAACATTAGTGGTATGAAGTGAATCACTATAAGTATAATAAAATAATAACTGTTTGTAAAACATGCAGTGTTCTGCTGACTGTCTAACCGCGAGTTATAAGTGGGCCAATACTTTGTGGGGCGTTCTACCAATATATTACTAAAAACACCAACAGCGGCATGTATTAAGGAAGTGTTCTTAGTCTGCATTGGCGACATTGCTCTGAAAGTATTATTTGAGGGGCGGCACACTTGCACAGTGGTTCGTATTGCTGTCCCTGAGTTCAGCTCCAGGGCTGCTGTCTGCATGGAGATCTATCTTCTCCCTGTGTTCGCAGGGGTTTCCTTCCACGGTCCAAAGAGTAAGGAAACCAAAGTGTGCAGTCTACCCTGAGACGGACTGGCGTCGCATTCAGGGTGTACCCTGCCTTGTGCCCGTTGCTTGCTCCAGCTCCCCCGTGACCCTGACCTGGACGAAGCGATAAGAAAACGGGTGGATGGAAGTATTCCTTGAAAGCTGGTCTGAAAGTACCCATCCGGGCCCATAATCTTGGGACCCTCTGAGAGAGGACAGAGTTTTAAAGAGAATAGCACCTTTTTGTTATCATGGGTAGGTAGAAGAAAATAATGACAGGCATTATTCATAGGAAGCTGCATCAGTGTCATACTGCTTTGCAAAACCTACACCACAATATAAATGTAGCATGCATTCTAAGGTAATTGAGTTATATTTAACTTGTGATATGTCAAATGAGGACAAGGTGTCACTGTGATGAAAAAACAGTTTCAATTCTTGAACTTGAAATGGCTTGTTGTCTGGTTATGATAGTTTTTCATGTTAAGACCCAGCACAGGATTTGTGTGTTTATTTTCTTCACCTTTGGGAAAAGCTGTGACCAGAACTCATGGGCCCACTGTGTCTCCTTGGACACAACCACATTTTTTATACCGGCAATGTCTCTACACTCTGAGGTTCTGACATTGTACAGACGGTGGATAAAATATATATTTTTTTAAATTGCACTCTGTAATTTTTCCTCAGTTTATAGATCACAAAACATT